GTGTGTGAATTGTTTTTAGTGGTTTTATGCATTTTAGTTTTTACTGTAAAAATTTTTTCGAGGCGATGATATAAGAGCCTGTAATGGAGATGCTCCTATCTAATGGAAACATTATAACACAACATAATGCGTTTCACTTTTTTTTTCATTTCTAGCCCTTTTTTCTTCTCATATTGCATCACTGATGTTGAAAGATTGTGCGGTGCAAACATTTTGAAATTCAACGAGTCATGTTGAACTTAATAGCCCTTAATTTTCACCAACGCTCGACGTTAATTTTTCAAAAAAACTTTTTCACCTCCAACAATTTTTTTTAATATATTGAAATATAAACAGTAAATTTTGTTGATCTGATTTGGATTAACCATTAGTGAAAAAATTTTGCTTAACGGTTAATAAAAGTACATATTTATATCTACTAAAATTAGGATATGTTTTTATAATTTGTAAATTTATTCATAGGTTTTCAGTGCGTAATGACTAAAATATAATAACCATTAGATTCATTTCTGAAAACGCTGAAAATGCACTGGCAGAAACTGAGACCATTGAAACGGCTTCGAAAGCGTTGAAAGGAATATTGATTTTCATGAAGAAATATGACATTTTTTGTTCCTTTCAAAATTTTCGTCATGTACTTTCAAATTTTTGAACAATCCTTCAAAAAAATATTTCTAGAATTTTATTTTTTCTTGCTAGGAAATTATTTGGAACTGTTTCAAAAACAAAAAACTGGAAATATAACAAATAGTTTGTGTGCATGTTTATGTATATATATATATATATATATATGTGTGTGTGTGTGTATGTGTTTGTGTGTATGTTTGTATTCTTCTTTGTGTAATTTTCAAATTCTAACAACGACAAATGAATCCTACTTAGGTGCACATCAAATCCTTAACTGAAGTCCGCCATCTGTCGACGATGAGTCTTCCAGTATCGACGGCCATCATGCAGACATCCATCATCGAACCATCCAAGAACACTGGCCACCACTACAAACTCCTTCTCCTCGCCACAAATCAGGTTGGAGAAATCGTTTATGTTGATCTGTTGGTAGTGTTGGTGGTAAAGTTGTTGTTTATATTTTTTTATGTTTTCTGTTGTTTTTATCTTCAAAAGAGTTTGGTTTTTATTAATCTTTTTTTATGCTACAAAACAAGTGTGATTGTTGCTGCTGTTGGCAATTTCTTGGTTGATGCTGCCTTGCTTCGCTATAACGTTTAATCTGCGAGTCAACATTCATTTTGATGAGATGATGTTTTCGGTTATAATTTTGGCAAAGCAGTTTTTTCATCACGATTTTTTATATAATTTTTAATGTTGTTTAAATAAAAAATTTAGCAATGTAATTTGTCTAAAAATAAGTTCACCAAAAAATATTTGGTTTCTAGACCTAAAATATATTTTAAATATTTTGCAGAATGTATACTTTTTTTGGTCACAGTAATTTCCTATTAGACAAGCATGTTTTTATTTAAGGTTTAACATGCCAAGCTAATTAGAAACTCTAAATTCTGAAAACACTCATTTCACGCACACGAAAATGCAGATAAATGTCAAATATGTACCTACACACGCATAAATCAAACAAATTTGTTAAAAATAACCAAAAATAAACAAGATTTTTGTAAATAGAGTTTTAAATTTGAAAAAAAAGAAAATAAACAGAACTATTTGGCCATAAGAAATTGTTTGATGGTGCAAGCAGAATGTTGATCGATGTGATTAGCATTTCAATGATATCAATCAAACTTCAGTCTCAGATCGTCCTCATTTCATTTTTTTCATCTTTTTTTATGAACTTCAGAAAAAATTGTAAGGCAATGCTTTGAATATTACTTTTAACTGGTGTTAGATATTCAGTGTATTTAATTAACTTCTTGAAAATCTCAGCAACTTTCAAAAACTCTCTATTGTCGGAAAACTAATATCAAAAAAGTTATCTTCAATATCTACTTTTCATGATTTATTGTTCCATCAGCATATATGTATAATTTATGTTGACAGGATGTTAATGTAGTACGGATACGTTGGGAATGAGATTTTTTAATTTTCCCTCAGTCATCATTCATCGTGTTCAGTCTTTTCTTATACACAAAAATTTGTACTCAGCATTTGTTTTTCGAAGTCTAAATCAAATATATTTCGATGGTAATAAACATTCATTTTATTCAGTTATGCATATAAGTGGAGCTACACTGTGTTTGTTGTCAGTATTTTCAGGCTGCTCTGGAAAATAATGACTTGTGAAATATCTACCAATCTCAAAATATCTGACAAGGTACAAGCGTTAGAATGAATGGGAATTAATAAAAGGCTATGTGGTCGGAAGTAATCTTTTAAGCCGCCTGATCAATTCGCCACGTTTGTTCGCTGCAAAATGGCACTATGAGTAATGAAAATAATAATTATTTCATCAGCGTTGACGCATCTCTCATTAAAAAGACGTAATTAATAATAAAAATGCACGACTTGACAAGTTGATTGCATGTTCTTCATATGTAATTAATTTTGT